ACTTGAAAAATATGGATCTCTGTCTAGAGGTCTCCTTTGACTTTGGAAAAATCAGGGAGTGTTCCCCTTGACAGAAGCTACAATATGCCAAAAATTCAAGCCATGGTGAAATGTCTATATGCATGGAGAATCAAAAGACTCAAGACAGTGTTTAATTAATTAAAAATAAAACATGCATCAAATGGATTTTAAATTATTTCCACATTGTTCTCCTCTGTTCATTGAGCAAGAGAGTATTTTTATTTTATTTTTGTGATTTTTCTAAACCAAGATATGGATTTTTAAAGTTAGGGGTCATTTTCTGTTTTTTTTAATTCCATATTTATCTTTTTAAACGCGTGACGCTGACTGGATCCTAGGCAGCTACGAAGCTCCACGCGGCACGCTCCCATTTGACGTCGCCGTCCACGCTAACGGCCACGCGTCCCGCAGTTCATGTAAAAAAGCATTGTACGGCTTCATCTTGATCATCCATCTGATACATTCTCGATCGAACGATGATCCGTCATCATCCCCAATGACCTAGCCCGAGAACTGTCCATCTTCAAAGCTTGATATCTCCCTCATTTCACAACCAAATTGAATGAATTTTTTTTTAAATGCTCGTCTAGACTAGAGGAACATATCTATATGGTTAAGATGCTATGAAATTAAGCCCAAGCAAATGGAGAATCAAAAGAGGCTCGGGATGAGGAGGAGTTCAATACCTTTGCTCTGAGAAGGGAAACTTCAATCAGAGATGCTTGGCACGTTCGTTGGAGACCAAGGAGGCTAGGGATTAAACCTTTTGCTATGGTGTAAGGTTATGTATGAATTCGACCAAGCTCTATTTCAAGTGTTGATCAAAGTCTATGCTATGGGCTCTATGGAAAGGGGATTTGATGAGACTTTGTCTTCTTTCAGTGTTGTGAAGGTGTGGGTAAGTTTAATTTTAGTTTGGTGGACTGTGGAGGTGTAGTGGAGGTGTATTGAGCTCTGTCTTAGTTTTAGACAGAAGTTTGAGCTCAAAATTGAGCTTCCACAATGGGAATCAGTGAAGGAAGATGGTTGGATTGCACTGAGTAGGTCTCAAAGAAGCTCTATAAGTGATTTGGGAGGCTCTCTCTGAGAAAGTTTCAGCACTCCCTCCATGGCCGTGGAGGTGGGATTTTATGAAAATGGCTAAGGGGTGGCTGTCATGGCTAACTGAGGGGTGAAAAATGGTGCTTACGTGGAGGGCAAAGAGGCTCTAACATCTCATTTGGGTGAGGTGGCCTCCACGTTTGAATCTCGAGGTGTGATTTGGGCAAAATTTAAGAGGGGGTGACCCTCAGTTTTGGCTTCTTCGGCGACTAGGTCGGCCGGCCATGGCAAGGGGAGGTGGCTAGGAGCTCATGGAACCCAGGGAATATGTCACAACAAATTAATGGGCTTGAGCTTAGTTTTGGCAAAAAGAATCTTAAGCTTAGGCAATTTTGTCATGAAATCCCTTGATTTAAGGGACCATTGGTCCATGGCTTAGATTAGGTGGTTAGGTGAGTTTTTGCTCAGTCTTAGGGTCCAATTAATGGTTGTGGAGTCATTAATTTGATGGCTTTGGGGTGGTTAGGCTACATTTAGTGCATGGGTCCAAGTGGGTGCAAATGACCAAAACTTACTTTTGGGATAGGTTAGCCATGTCCTTGAGCCCAATTGATTAATGCACTTGGTTTATATGATTGCAATGAACATTTTTGGTGAAGGATTGAAGGGATTTTGAGTTCAATTGAAGGGTCAATTTGAAGTAATTTGAATATTGGTCATTTTGGGCATGTTGGGCTAAACTTGGGTCTAGATTGGGCTAGCCTTGGGCTAAGTCCAAAATGATGGTTGAAAATGGTCAATAGGAACCTCATGAAGAGTTTTAAACATAAATTGGGTGTCAATTTTGGGGTTAAGGCAATCAATTTGGTGAAATCTGGGGACATAGTCAATTTGGGGCAAAATTTAGGGCTTTTTTGGATTTGGGTCAAAATTAAATGGAATTGAGGATTCATCAAGACTAATTTATGGTAAGGTTTGATGTTTTGGAATGTTATAAAGAGTTTTTGTTTAGTAATGTTATAATTTTGATGTTTAGTAATGTTATAAAGAGTTTTTAACATAAATTGTGGCAAATTGAGTGGGCTATGGGTTCAATTTGATGAGATTAGTTCATGTGACCAAAAGTGGAGGTTTGGCTCAAATCAAAATTGGGCTCAATGCAACGGCCAATTAGGCTTTGATTTAGTATATTTTGGTCATATGAAGGGTTATTTGAGTTTAGGATTGAAATTGGGGGAGATTGGGGTCAAATTAATGGACATTTGAGTTGAATTTAGGGAGATTTGAGCCTTTAAAGGTAATTTGGGGGTTTTGGTCAAAGATGATCAAATTGGCCAAATTGGATTATGTTGTAGCTGAGAAAAATGAAATTGTGAATATTTGGAATATTTTGGAAATTTTTTGGATTTTTTGAAATTTTTGAAACCTTGGGCTAAGGAGGGGCATTTTGGTAATTTGACAATTTTTTTTGGTGATTTTGGGTAATTTGGGTGTTTTCAAAAGGTTTGAAATGATTTTTGAATAATTTTGGGTATTTTAGATAAATTTGGAAATTTTGACCAAATTTAGGGTTTTAAGGGTACTTAGGTAATTTGGGGGAGTTTAGGGGAAAGAGGTCAAACTGAGTATTTTGGATAAAATTGGGGAACTAACCACCAAAAGTAAGTCATGGACCAATGGAAACGCCATTTGGGTCCTCTATGTACTGGTCTTAGCTAAACCCTAGCCTAGGGCTAGTAGGTTTAGGAGACCATCTACATAAGTTTCCCAAAGGCTCAAGGGACCAAAGTCAGGAAATTTTGGGTTTAGGGTAGTGAGTGATTGTGAGTGAAGTGAATGCCTTAGCTCTAGACCAACACCCAAGGTCAACCCTAAGGTCAAATAGCCCTATAAGAACTCTTCTTGAGCTCCCCCATAATGACCCCACCTACTAAGTGTTAGAGGCTCGAACCAATATGTGGAACTTCAAGTTGAGTAAAGAAGAGTTTAAAATTTCTAATGGTGAAGGTGCCTTTCTATAGTTCTCTAAGATTAGTCAATAGAAATTCATATGACTAGACCTTAGGCTACTAAAGAGAAAGACAAGACCTCAACCAAAAATGAGGTCAACACAACTGCAAGACTTTTTTGTGTTCTTCTTCGAGCTTCCTTGGGATAGAGGAAGAGAAGAGCAAGCAGAAGTTCCTTGCAGCAGAAGGAAGAAAAAAGAAGAAGAAGATTGTTCTCCATTCGCTTCTTCTTGGTGGCTTGTGGCAAAAGACAAATTGGATTTATTCTCTTGTGAGTTTTTCTTCTTCGGTGTATCTTAGTGTAGAGAGAGAATAAGAGAGAGAGAGAAAGAGCAAGGAAGTGAGAAATCCCTCTTGTAAGTCGAGACGATCACTGGTGTAAATCGACTGGTGTTAATTCCTCAAGTAGTTAAATCATCTGCAACTCCGTGGACATAAGCAATTTCCCGAATCACATAAATCTATGTGTTCTATAATGTTAATGTTTTCTAGTATGAATTTTCTCGTTCTATTTCTTCGCTTCTTCAATGATCGTTCTTCTATTTTATATATATACCACAACAGTTGAATGACACCAAAGGTTTCTTATCAATAAGTTTTAAATGACAACTAATAAGGAAGTTCAAAACTCAGGGGATAAGGGGCAATTGCTTACGTCCCATGGTAAAAAAACAGAGATGTGTGTTGACTTACCCATTCTCTTAATAAGTAGAGATGTGTGTTGAACACTATGATTTATAAACATAATATATTAACATTAGTGGAGACCAGATAATTATTGATCATAGATGTCATAAGTAAAAAAAAAAATGATGTTATAATCAGCGTGGTCTTTCTGTTGATATGAGTGGATAAAAGGTTCAAAAAATAAGTTTCTAACATAAACAATCAAAATTAGATTTGGGTCCCTGATAGGGATCATGTGATAATTACTTGGAAATTATGATAGTCGCACAATGATGGGAGGGCTTAGTTGTTCATTAAATAGTGTAATCATATAGGTTTATATCATTAGATCATATCATTATTTAATATATATTATTTTATATAACTAGCCTTGTTAAATGTACAATATGAAGGTCATATGTATGATTTGGTAAAGAGTTGAATAACTAGATTTGCATTTTGGCTTACATAAATACCCTCAGAGTGCAAGCATGCATAACTAAAGTTAGAGTTTTAGAAGGCTTACCGCACATATACTTTTTTATGTTCATTATTTTTTTAGAACTAAAGACTGTATTCAAAAAATGGAGAGCTCCACTCAATTTAAAATAATTAATGCATGTAATCATTCATACTCTTATACAAATATATTAATTTAAGATATAATTTGCATAACTACATTCAAATCAGCCATGAAATAGGATCTTTGCGACATTCCAAAATTTCAAAATTTTCCAGACTAGCCGTTGTTGCCACGTGACCTCTTCGGCATTGGGATGGAATTCGAACTTTTGCAGCGCCTCCTTATTATCTGCCGTCAGCTTTCAAACATTCGACAAATCAGCACCGTTCATATCCTGTAGTTTCAAACCTTCACACTTGATTATTCACTATCCGAACGGCGAAAACCTAGGAAACTGATCAGCTCTTTGATCGGGAAGCAGAGATAGTTAAGGATTTCTCGACTTCGGATTCTACTATTCACTAAATCTTTCAGGTTATTATCTCTTTCCATCATCCGTTGATTTCTCAGCCCGATTTTCCCTTCTTCACGACTTCCTTTTTGTTGATCCTCATGTTTTCCATGTTTTCTCTTATCTGGAGTAAACTTAACAGAATGTCAAGGGAGTTTAAATTCTTCCAGGGGAACTCCGGGAAGAACCCTACCACCAACGCAAACAACGAGAATCTTCCACTAGAGCAGACCGTTTCATCTGCATCTCAGCAGGGTGCGGATCCATCAAGACTTCCGATCCCTCAAGACTTCCTTTTAGCGCCATTCAAGAACCCGAGCGAAACCCTAGGTTCGGGCTGGATCAAGAAACGCATTTAAGGAGAAAGAGCGAAAAAACCCCTTCCAAGAGGCAAGCGAAATGGTCGGATCAGTTCTTCCAGTCACGCACACCGAATAAATTGCCGGCGAGCAAGGTCAGGTTTGGATGGGTTCCGATTGTCGAACAGGCCGGATTGGCTTCTCCGGAGCGAAGGGAGTATTCGCTCCATCAGGGACAATTCCAGTTGCCGCCCCCACCACCTCTTATGGCAAACCATGCGCTGCGCTTCGGGAATGGTTACAGTGCTGCTACTCCTCGCTCTATAGCAACGGGTGGGAGAGCCTCATCGGTTCATTCTGGTACAAACTCGACGCAAAGCACGCCCACTAAGAGCGTTTCTAAGCCCATGATCAATGTGGTTAGCAACTCTCGTGCTCCACAGTGTTGTAGAACTGTCAAGGCTATGAATTTTTTGGTATCATCTAAAGGGATAACATTGTCATCTGCACCTCCACCAGTTCATGCATCAGTTGAAGTGCCACATTTTGAGCTCAAGGAGGATCCCTCCTTCTGGATGGATCACAATGTACAGGTACAAATTGCTTTTCTGGCCTCGTTTCAATAACCTCTTTTTTTTAATATATTTTTGAATTTTTTGTTGCAGGAAAAGGATTCTAGCTTATTAAGCTGTAAGGAAACTAAAACAATAGTAGGAATTAGGATACACGAATTATTGAAAATTGTCATTTGAACTTAACTAGTTCTTTTTTTGCATTACAGTTCCCTGTAATTTGATCAAAATTATTTTCTGTTCTCCATTGCTTGAAAGACAAAATGTATTTTCTATACAAGGAGTTACTGGGTTGATAACAAACTGGATACAATACAAAACAAGTTATTGATTGCAAAATGAAGTTCATAGAATACAAAACACAAAACTTTTATTTGAGTCCATTATGTTTAGAAGGTAGGGATTGATTCGTTGATAATACTGAACCCAAGTGTTTTATCTACGTAGGTAGTGATTCGGGTTCGTCCTATCAACATCGTAGAGAGAAGTCAACAAGGTTACAGTAGATGCATAAAGCAGGAAAGTGCACAAAGCATCACATGGATTGGACAACCAGAGACTCGATTTATGTTTGATTATATAGCTTGTGAAACTGTCAATCAGGTTTTCTACTAAATTTTTTCTTTTTTTTTCTTTTGTTGTGCAATTGTGGCCACTATATTCTCCATTTTTGGTATAAAACATTTGTGGTATACAGGAAATGCTATTTCGAGTGGCTGGACTTCCAATGGTTGAAAATTGCATGTCTGGATATAACAGCTGTGTGTTTGCTTATGGACAGGTACTATTCATAATATTTAGTATTAAAATTTCAATTGAAGCAGATAAAATATTGGAATTCCAATGTAAAATATTGGAATTCCAATGTTCATAAAATATTGGAATTCCAATGTTCTTACATATCTAACACCCAAACTTCAATTTTTACATATATGCCACATTACCTATGCATGAAAGGTTTATTTCACTTTTTAAAAGTCAAAATAGTGGTATTTTTTATGTGATATGATAGATTTGGATGTTATAAATGTAAAAAATTAAGTAGAGGTGTTAGAGCCAATTTGAAAACTCATAATATGTTATTGTTTATATTTTATTTGTGTGTTTGAGTCTCAATCTGCATGATTTTGATGCTATAGACTGGAAGTGGGAAGACACATACAATGCTTGGAGAGATTAATGATCTGGAAATCAGACCGAGTACAAACCGAGGAATGATACCAAGAATTTTTGAATTCTTGTTTGCACGGATTAAAGCGGTGAAATGCCTAAATATCACTGTCATTTTATCAATATATATTTTCTCGCTTACGTTTTTTTTCTCAATTTATAGGAGGAAGAGAGCAGGAGGGTTGATAAACTAAAATACACTTGCAAGTGTTCATTTTTGGAGATTTATAATGAACAAATTTTTGATCTTCTCAACCCAACCTCCACTAACTTGCTTGTAGGTTCTGACATATTTCAGTTTTTGTTTCCTGATTGTATTTCATTTATTTTTTTTCTTTTTGGTTCGTAATTGTATTTCGTTTTATTTTTTTTCCAACATTGAAATGTCTACCTTAATTTTTTTTCTATCTTTGAATTTTTTTTCCTTCTCTTTTTGTTGATCATTTTGCGGCATCACATTGTGATTGACAGATTCGAGAAGATCCGCGGAAGGGAGTTCATGTTGAAAACCTTTCTGAATTTGAAGTTGAAAATGTTTATGACACTTTGCAACTTCTTATTCAGGTACTTATTTACTTCTTGTTCAAATCTCATTGTAAAAAGTTCAGTAAAATGTAAGCCAACAATGTCTCAGGGTGCTACAAATAGGAAAGTAGCAGCAACAATGATGAATCGTGAAAGCAGTCGTTCTCATAGTGTATTCACTTGCACCATTGAGAGCAGGTGGCAAAAAGATTCAACAAGTACATTGCGTTTTGCAAGGTTGAACCTCGTAGATCTTGCAGGATCTGAAAGGTACTTTCTCGATATGTTTTTCTCTTGATTTATGAAGAGTCATCAAGTAACTATATTTTGATTAATTTTATGTCTCCTAAACAGGCAAAAAACATCTGGTGCTGAAGGGGATCGCTTAAAGGAGGCTTCAAACATTAATAAATCCTTATCAACACTTGGGTATGCAATATGCAGGATGCATTTATTTTTCTTTTATTTTGTACATAGAACTTTATTTATTTTTAATAATTAGCATTGTTTGAGAATTTATTGGATTTGCAGGCATGTAATAATGGTTTTAGCTGATTTAGCAAATGGATGGCAAAGACATGTTCCTTACAGAGATTCGAGACTGACATTTCTTCTTCAAGTCAGAATTAGTTTTGAGTTGACTGTGAACTAATTCCATGCAATTTTTCTGTTTTATTCATTGTTTTTTTCACTAATGTGTGTAATGTAGGATTCTCTTGGTGGAAATTCAAAAACAATGATCATTGCAAATGTCAGTCCTTCTATATGGTATGCAGTGTATTTTTTTTATAATTGTATCTATATTGTCCACTGCATGCGTGTCTATGCAATTTACATTTATCATTGTTACCTTGCAGCTCAACAAATGAAACATTGAGCACTCTTAAATTTGCCCAGCGTGCAAAAGTTATTCAGAACAATGTAGTGATTCTAATTGGTGCCTGATATTTTTTAGACCAATATTTTATTAGAATAAAATTTCTTGGTTCATATTTGATGCTTTATCGCTGCAAATTTAGGCTGTTGTGAATGAAAATGCTTCGGGTGATGTCTTCGCCTTACAACATCAAATACATTTGCTAAAGGTTTATGTAGAGCACATAACAAATTTATTATTTTCACAATTGGAAGTATTTTTTTTTCTTATGAATAAACAAAAGTTTAAAATTAATTGTATCAGGAGGAGTTGTCCATGCTCAAGCAGCAAAACATCTCGAGATCATTATCTTTTCGTACGACAACTCTTGAAAATGCTGATTATGATGCTTATTCTCCTAAAAAATTGACTGGAATTCTATCCGAGTTTAACCAGATCTCCGATAGTGAAGAATTGCAGGATGTTAGAGTTTTAAATAAACAGGTATGTTGCGCAATTCTTCGGACTTGCTACTGAATTTTGGTTTATTTTTGCTGAAGAAGTGCCTTTGTCCTCTTATGTGCATGGTAAAGAAATAATGTTAAAGAAATGATCATTTGTCCATAAATAGATGGAACACAATAGATTTGAAACTGTAAAAAAGAAACAAGAAAATGAGCTTATCTGCAACAACTTCCTGCCACAACTGTTGCGCAACAGCTTATTAATAAGTTGCAGTAGCCCCAAACAGACCCTAATACACATACAAAAAGTTTTTTAAATGTTTGTGCTTCATAGTTTATTATTAATGATATTCTTATTTTTTATATTTATTTTTAATATTTCATTTTCCTCTAATTTTGTTGGTGTATATACACATATTCTAGTATTACAAAGAATTAACATATGTTCATATAGCGCTTGCACATAAAATTTGTTATTTCAGATGACCTATATAGTATGAAAAATATCATTTTATATGCTAGCATCCTTTTCTAACACAACTCATGGTGTTATTTTTCTTCAATAAATTTGGTTGTAGTTGATAATATTGTGTGTGTAGAGTTAGGCTCTTATTTTCCTCCATCTGTTTTCTATGAAAATATACTCTTTGTTGCTTTGGCAGTTGAAATCATTTGAAGCATTGTTAGTTGGCGCATTTCGAAGAGAAAAAATAGCCGCCATTGCCATTAGGCAACTTGAAGCAGAAATTGAGCAGCTCAACCGCCTGGTGATCATTTTTAAATTGATAAGGATCAACCATTAACATGCTGAGGTTTTAATGCAGAACTAGTTTGGGTGTTAAAAGTTTGTTTCTCCATTTTTGTTGGCAGGTTCGTCAAAGAGAAGAAGACTCTCAATGTTCGAAAATGATGATCAAATTTCGAGAAGATAAAATTTATAGGATGGAAGCACTTTTGAATGGACTGATTCCATCAGAATCCTATCTACGTGAGGAGAATAATGCTTTATCTGAAGAAATAAAATTGCTTCGAACAAAGATTGATAGAAATCCTGAAGTAACTCGTTTTGCCTCGGAAAATATAAGACTCTTAGAAGAACTGAGGAAGTACGCCTTGTAGCTCTTGCTGAGGATGTAATCCTTTTGAACTGATTGACTCTCTTAATAAATAAATTTTTTATAGGTTTCAGGATTTCTATGACGAAGGAGAAAGAGGCCTTTTATTAACTGAATTATCTGAGTTGCGAAATCAGGTGAATGCAACTGGTTTAGATTATGTGACCTTGGTTACTTTGTTGCTATGAAACCTTTCCTTAAATTAACACAAGATATTGATGTTATTTACTTTTATGTTCAGTTTGCACAATTCCTTGATGGGAAACTAAAGTCTGACATCAATGCTCAGGTTCGTCTTTTTTTGCTTTAGATTTTGTTTTCCCTTGATTGCTTATCAATTAATGATTGAGTTCAATTTAGTGTTTTAGTTTTATCAAAAATAGAATATATCTTGTATAGACACTTAAATTCGATGGTCCTCTTGTGTTTTCCTATTCTACCTTCCTTCCATGTGCCTTGTGCTTTCGAGTGCATGCTGGATCTTTGGGTTTGCTTGTATCAACTTTGATGCTTGGCTGTGATCCTCTGTACACCCTCACTTGCACTGATTCTCATGCACTTTTGGCTTCATCTTCTCACTCTCTTTCAACAACAACTCATAATATTTGAATTTTTCTATACTCACACTTAAGTTGGGCCCATCATTCTCGATCCCTCAGGCTTTTAAAGTTGTCATTGTTCTCCTCTCCTATTTCTTTCCGGGTTTTAATGGATTTTTGCTCCTTGTCTTACTTTTGACATCATGCTTGTTCAATTCCTTTGAGTATGGATGGTGCTTTGATCTCCACCGCATGAATTAATAGCTAAAAGAGATCTAGTCTCACTAAATCAACTTCATTAATTAATTACTAACAAAGATCAAGTCTCACGGAATCAACATTGCCTAAGCCTTTAAACATTGGGCCTTCTCTTACACTTTAGGGACATTATAATAAATTGAGACTACTAGATTTTTTCATCTAGTCTGTATGTAGACTTGGAGTCTATTTGGGATAGCTTTCTACCTGCTTTCCGTTTCAGACCGCCGCCATAACTTTGTTTAAGGAATTGACTTTTTGCTGTTTTTATAAAATTTTTTGTCGGGAAGCTACTTTCTAAGAAGTTTCTTTCTCCACCCCAACTTTATAAACATTTTTATAAAAATTGCTGCCAACCCCGGACAAACCCTTTATGTTTTGCAAAACACCTATTGATTGCTTTTAAATTGAATTCCTAAGATAGAGCTAAGTTATTTGTAGCTTTAGAAGTAGATGTAGTGTACCAAATTGGTGGAACAAGGATTGCTTTTCCTTAATGGTGGAGGGTGATCTTTTGGGCGACACCAAAAATTTTGTTTGGCAAAAAGTTGGGTGGAATATTATTCACCTTTTGTTGATGTTAACTCAAATTCTCTTTCTCCTTTCAGGATCTTTGTTTGGCTTCTCCCGAAAAAGTGTCTTGTTCATGTAGCACAAAGCATGCTGAAGAAGTTTCGAATCTGGAACAAGAGCTAGACATACTAAAGACGATTATTGCAGTAGAGAAATCATCTCGCGTTGAGGCAGAAAAAAGAGCATTTCTTTCAGAAACTGAGCTAAGCATAACAAATGATAAGCTTCTGCAGATAAATAAGAGATATGATGCAACAACAGACAAATTGAAGGACACAAGGTCTGTCATTGAAGCCCTTGAATCCCAACAAATGCTTTCGATTAATGAACTTGAGGAACTGAGAGAGAATAACATTCGATTTGCGGATACTGTGAAGATACAGGAGCAACAGATCTCCACAATTAAGAAACAGCTTGCTTTGCGCATTGATGTTGGAAACAGAAAATCTATTATTGCTCATGAAATATTGAGAGAAGATTACTCTGAAAGTGAGTGTTCTTCTCCTTTTCAGGATAAACTGAAAAGAGTGCAAGCTTCTCTAGAAAAAGCTTGGAACCTGAACATGAGGTGTCAAAGTGACCAGGCATCTCACTCATCCAGTGAAAGAGAAATGGATGAAGTTCGTAGGCAAGTTGAAGCTGAAACTGCTGAAGTTATTGTCTACCTGCAAGAGGAGCTCACCACAGTTAATAAAATAGTTGATGAATGCAACAAAAATGAACTGGTGGCCAAACAACGCTTAATGGATCTTGAAAAGGAGAAAAAGGAGCAAGATGATAAACTCTATTTGTTAACTCTAGAAAATATAAGGCTTTCCAAATTAACTGAAGAGAAAGAACAAAATACGAGTTCAATCATGGAACATTGGGTGCAACTAGCCATTGAAATTTCAGATCTTCTTGAGAACGGAAAGACACAACTCGATAATGCCACTCATGAGGTAGCTTCTATTTCTGATATTTTCTCAAAGAAAAGTTGGATCACTGAGCAATTTGGAAAAATCATTATGGGAATCTCTAAAAGAGATTCTTTAATTGAAGAACTACAGAAGAATTTGGAAGATGTTTGTTATGTAAGGCATGATATGGAGTCAAAATTGATGACCTTGAGAGGAGCAATACTGGCTATTACTGAAGCACAACAGCAAGAAAATTCTGACAAAGAAAGCAGAATTCTCCATTTAACTTCACTATTGGTCGAGAAAACATCTATCATATCTGAATTAGAAGACAAAGTTGAGGATGCTGTAAGAAAAGTTAGGAAAGCTGAGATATGCGCTGCAATTTTTTTCATTATTGGGAAGAAATTATATGAGATAAATAAGATTCATCTTCAAGCATTGGATGAGGCCAACTTGCAGCTTAGAGAATCTGAAAGTACTATTCCGCAAAAAGATGACATCATACAAGGGCATGCTTCTTTACTCTCCATTGAAGGCAAAGGATGTCAAGATCAAAGAGCACAGGTAGAGCACAATTATCAACAAGCCAATTCTCTAGAACACTGGAAAGACGGTTGTTTAGATACCAGTTCGAAGAACGAGGAGGGAAAGATCACTACTCTAGATTCTTCTTGTGGTCTTGTAGAAGCAAAGATGAAGCTTCGAGAATTTCAAATGCAAATGAGTACACTGAAATCTTGTATGCATGAGTATGCTGATAACCAGGTAAGCTAATTCCCCTTTCCTTAATAAACAAGCGAATAAACCTGGATCACTGCTTTTACTTTTTTTGTTATTTCTTTTATTTATGACATTGATGGGTATTTTTTCTTTTTCAAGTAAATGAAATGAATTCTTCAAATTTTCTTACTTATAGTGTGACAATGTTGCAGTCCATGGTTCTTGATCAGAAAAAACATCTTTATGAGGATTATGAGGACCTGCAGAAAGAAATATGTTGCTTCAAACATGAAAATGATAAACTTGAATCTCATGTGTCTACCTTGACTGAGAAATTGATCCTTGTTGAAGAAAATAAAGCCATTGTTGCTAAGCAGCTTGAGAATCAGTTGATGGAGAATGAGGTGCTGAAATTAAGATTAATGGGGATGTCGATGATGCTCGAGGAACTCCGAAGCAAATATGTAGTGTGCAAAGAATCAGATAATATGAAAACCATAGCTATGGAGAGGTTAAAGAAAGAATTGCTTGATGCATGTATATTGATTGGGCAAAGAGAAGTTCTTGTTGAGGAGTTGCAGAAGGACATGTCCAGAATTGCACATGAGAAAGACGAATTTGAATCTGAGTCATACACTTTAAATGATAAGTTGATCCTTGTTGAAGAAAATAAAGTCATTGTTGCTGAGCAGCTGAAGAATCAGTTGATGGAGAATAAGGAGCTGAAATTAAGATTAATGGAGATGTCAATGGAGCTTGAGGAACTCCAAGGAAAATATGAAGTAGTATGCAAAGAATCAAATAATGTGAAAACAATCGCTTTGGAGAGGTTAAAGAAAGAATTGCTTGATGCAAGTATCTTGATTGGGCAAAGAGATGTTCTTGTTGAGGAGGTGCAGAAGGACATGTCCAGAATTGCACATGAGAAAGAAAAGTTTGAATTTGAGGCATACACTTTAAAAGAGAAGTTGAAATTAGCGAAATCCATTGCTAAAAAAAATGAAGCTGTGGAAACAGAATCTCCACAAAGGAAGCTATTGATGGAGAATGAGCAGCTGAAGCTACAATTAGAACATATGATAAGGATGCTTCATGAGGTGAAGACTCTTAATCAAAATCTACAAGAAGAGTTTGAGGATAAAATGAGTTCTGCAATTTTGCAAAAAAAGCTGCATGATTCGCTTAGCGAAAGAAGTAATGTTTTTGAGGAGTTCCAGAATGAGATGACAGTAAGCACACATTCGAAAGAACAACTTGAATCTCAGGTGTCTATTTTGAAAGAAAAGCTTAAATTGGCAGAATCCCTTGCTGTAGTAAATAAAGTTGTTGCAATAGAAGCCCGACAGGTGCAAATACCAAAAACTATGCACGTCTCAATGGTTTTTATTATATCTTTTCTCAATTGGCTATCTTTCACAATTTCACGCAGATTGCAGAAGAAAGAAGATCGTATGCTCAAGTCAAAGAAGAGGAGGTTAAGCTGTTAGAGAGATCAATTGAAGAGCTTGAATGCACAGTTAATGCATTGCAAGAACAGGCATTACATTACTGTTCTCTTCTTTAAATTCATTGTTGTCCTATGTAAAAATGCATTTCCATTTGAGTTTTCCATGGTTACTTCAGGTAAAAATTGTGAAAGGGGAAGCAGAAAGGCAAAGAATACAACGCAATGAGCTGGAAAAGGAAGAAGAGGCAAAAAGGTTTGGTTTAAAACTTAGCAATTTACTTTCAAGATTACAAGAATAGGAGATTACAAGAATAGGTAACCTAAGAGCACGACTAAACAAGGAAAAATTCTATTATAGATTGCAGTAAGCACCGAAATAATTTTTAAATCAAGGAAATAAACAAGAAACAAGCTTCCAATCACGCTAAAATCTGTTCTAAAATAGCCATACTAAGCTTGCCCTAAAATTGGATTGTCCTGTCCCACTGCGTGGAGTTCACTACATGAATCATTTTTCTTCATTTTGTCCTATTGAGTATTATATTTTCATTTAATTCTAATACATTAAGATAATTTTTATGCAACATGCCCAAGTCTTTTTGGATATATCTCAATCTTTCTTAACATTCAATTAAAATTCATTTAAAAAACATCAACTCTCCTAATAGGGCCATCATATGATGAATGTTTAATGTTACCAAACCATCTAAGGTGACTCTCTCTAATCTTGCTTTTCACTAAAGCTACTCCAACCTTTTCACGGATATATTAGCTTCGAATTTTTTCATTGTAAAGCCACTGATGGTAAACTCATGAGAATCCAACAGGACTCACACACATTTGGCTTGAAGCATTCCTCCAACCTACTGACAGTTTTAAATGAATATCCCTAGGTAGCCACTCATCCAAGAAATAAGAAAGAAATGCAGAAATGAACCAACAATCAAAAAATAGAGGATCTGATGATGTGAATGCCTTCTTGGATTCAGCGTTTGACTTAATGGCTTTTATGTTCATTGTAGTGACTCCTTGCCTCTTGATATCAATGTCCATGTCTTGGAATCACCTTCATCAATTATGGATCGTAAAATTTCTCCAACCCACTGACAAAAAATTCCATTAGACAAGAGGAGTTACTTGTTCAGTTACATGTTCAATAAATCTAGAAATAATCATTTGATTGTGAATGGAGAATAGTGACCTAGATAGAAGTTTTAGGGAATCCAGGAACCCATGTTTTTGTTGTTAACAAAGAGTTTGAGGGTGTGTTTGGGGCCGTGGTGCAGTGCCTGCTTTTTTGAAAGGTTGCAGATGAAATCTGTGTTGGTCCCACCATGGCTAGCTACCTGCGGTGGCTGCTAGAAAGCTGTGGTCTGATTTTTGTCAAAAAAAAAAATTTTTTTGTAACAACAACTGCAACTTCACAACTGGCTTATTCAAACAATTGTAGTTGCCCCAAACATAACTTGAGTCAATTTCACCACAGCTTCCCCTTCTCTCCTTACCAATTTTAAGCAATTAGAAATAGAACTCAATCCCAAATTACTTCCCTCACTCTTTTAAGGATTTGATATAAATAGAATTGTATCCCTTCTAACCTCTAGGATCCTAAATCTTGAAATAGTCCCTATGAAAATAGCAAAAGAAAACATATTTTTACTTATTAAAACTTCTAAGAATGTGCATAATGTAAGTGAAAGTGTATATTATGCCCTCTTTTGGTTAGATTCATAGGCTTTTTCGTCTTAATATCTTGTATTAAAAGTTGTCGTTGCAAGTTGTCGCTAATGATGAATTTTTATTTCCTTGCAGGCAACTTAAGGAAAACCTATCTGAACTAGAGAATGCTCAAAATAGTATTCAACTTCTCCGAAAGGAGGCAACAGAAAAAGAACTAGAGGTTTGTAATTTTGTTTGTTAGGCTTAACATAATCTTTGTGCATAATGAGAAGATGAAAGATCCCTAAATTGTAAAAGATAATAAAGTAAAGCTTTGAAATTTTAATTTCTATTACATTCATTGTTTTTAAATATAATCATTATTTTTTTATTGTTTTCTTAATGACTCCTAAATTATTGGAAATAGCATATAGAAGTTATTTATCTTTAAGTTTTATTATAGAATTTTAGATTTAAGATTAGTGAACCTAGTTTGCATTTATTAAATATGCATGTAATTACCAAGAACAACAGCAACAAGCCTTTGTCCCACTTAGTGGAGTCCACAACATGAATCTTTTTTCTTGTCCTATTGAGTATTATATTTTCATTTAATTCTAATACATTAAGATAATTTTTTATGCAACATGCTGAAGACTTTTTTGATCTATCTCAATCTTTCTTAGCATAAGTCAATTGAAACATCAACTCTCCTAATAGAGTCATCATATGATCAATATTTAATGTGACCAAACCATCTAATACAACTCTCTCTAATCTTATTTTTCACTAAAGCTACTCCAACCCTTTCACGTATATATTTGTTTCACATTTTGTCAATGTAAAGCCGCTCATCCACCTAAAACATTCTCATCTAGGCAACACTTTATGCTTCTCTTTTACAAGTCAACATTTTGTGCCATAAAGCGTTGCGGATCTTACCATCATCTTATTATCTTTTTCTTTAATTCTCATCTAGGCAACACTTTATGCTTCTCTTTTACAAGTCAACATTTTGCGCCATAAAGCGTTGCGGATCTTACCATCATCTTATAATTTTTTTCTTTACTTCTAAGCGGTATTTTGCTATCACACAATATACCAAATATATTCTTCCACTTCAACCATCAAACTTGAATTCTACTAATAACATCACCATCTATATATTATCATCTATATCCCCATCTATATCACCATTACTTTGAACAATAAACCCGAGATATCTAAAACATTCACACATTTTATTGACTTACTCGTCAATTGTTACAATCCCCCTGCCAGATCTACTATTACTAAAATTATATTCCATGCATTCAATTTTAGATCTACTCAAAGGAAAGCCTTTAGATTCTGAAGTTGACAAGCTTTTTTTTCTTTAAACTCTCTCCCTAGTTTTATCTACTAGAAGGATATCATTAGCAAAAAGCATACACGAGGGCACATTCTTCTGTAAATATCCATAACTAAAACAAAAAGATGTAAGCTTAAAGTCGATTCCTAATGTAAACCAACTGAAATAAGAAAATACTTGAATTTCGTGATTTTTTATTTGCATGCAATTACTCCTAAATTAAATATATGGCGTTTGTTTTGGCATATACTTGAATTTCTTTTTCATGGGTAATATTTAATTTTTCAGATTTTTTATACCCACCAATCATGTTGGGTTTTATTATCATTATATGCTTTATCCCAATTATTTGGTGTGCACTTTTAAATCTTTATTTATTTATTTATTTATTTATTTATATTTATTTTTCGTTGAGGTGTTAAACTTATTCTTCACAAATCATTTTGAAAATTTGATCATTTACCTTAAGTCACTTCTTAAAATTAAATTCTTTAAAAGTAATTTATCTACTTCTCTAATTGATATATTTTACATTTTTCTTTGCATATATCCAAACTATGAAGCACGGATACTTCTAAATGTGCCTTTTGTGCCCATGTCCAACCCAAATATAGCTTTGACACGTTTGTCACCTTCAGAACTATATTGGGATCATTTCATATTAAAACTAAGATCCAACTCGTTTTGAAAACGGTCAAACATTTGCAAAAACTGGAAAGTATACACGTGTGGAAGGAAAATAAATATTGTTACATAATGTATTGCTGTGAAATTTAATCTCGTCGGTTTCGTGTTTATGCATCAGCATAACCCAAATGTTTTTCTCCTCCCAAGAGCATTTTGAAATCCTTCTATACTCCATGTTTGATACAATGCAAAATATCAACATCAACAAAGGCCTAGATCAAAATGTCTTTATTGTATTAAAAATTATTCAAACATCACTCATTTTATAAAATAGAAGCATCAAAATTATAGAGAAAGGATGCTCATGATTGAATTGATTGAACATGACAAAAAAAAATGGTCAATGTATACGACATTGTGCAAGTGCAGTTCAAATGCATTGCATAAATAAAATTTATCAAAAACTCACTCTCGCAAAACAAGTCATATTGACACATTCATAATTTTGAAAATTGCCAGAAATGACATTTATATTACCCAAATCACCTCCCAAGAATAAAATAATTGATTGTACTTATGATAAGGATGAAATTTCAACATCCCTGAGTGAAAAAATTGTTTACAGGAGAGGAATATAGCATATTAAATTTGTCCAATATTTAATCTATTTCAATTTAATAAAAAAAAATCAAATCCTATAAATGTCTAGCCCTTATGCAGCTGCCCGTGCCTGTATTACTTTCAATTTTCAGCTCCCATACCCTACTAGAGCATTAAGTGTCGTCCAACTCACATTCAACCCCCCATTGATTCCGTCTCCCTATGCCTACCCTTTGCCCCTCCCAGCATCCGCTTCACTCTCTCTCATTCATATACTCGTGATATTTTGTTCTCTTTTTAATTCGCACAGTTTAAACTCTGAAATGACGGTCTTCTATATAATAGTCAATGGAGTTATGTTGGTGCTTTAGTAGCTATTTATATCCACTTATTACATATTGACTGATACTTATTTCACAGTTTTTATCTAAGATAGTGAAGTTCAAGATGAGATTTTGGTACTCATGCTTAAAAGAACTAAGCCTGCAATACATTAATAAGATAACATGTGATAACTTTACATTTTTTGTTTCGTTCAGTATTTTGGTCATGTTTTTGAGTTTTGAGCTGTAACTTGTATGGGGTATAACATGAGTAATTGAGCCCCTAAAATAGTGATTCTTACTGCTCTTAGTTGGGTTTGTTGGCTAATAACATGAGGAATTATAGCTTATTGAACCATGTACTTCTCTGGTTGCTCAGCTTGTCCAGTGCAAATCAATAATATCAGAACTGAACTTGCATGCAGAGGCACAAGCAAGTGAATATAACCGGAAGGTACCCCATCACCTTACCTTTTTCTCAGCTAAATTCATGACGATTTTGGTACTTTGTGTGTTTCAGTAATTTGCCAAAATCACAGAGTGAACTACCTTGCATTTACTGTTTTATCGAGAAAGGGCCAAAATTGTCCCTAGCTCTTTGCAGGGGGATCATTTTGATCTCAGAGTTTATAAAAATGTCAATTTAATCCCAGACTGTTTTAATATGGGTTGAAAATATTCTCTAGATAGGACTACTTGACTTGGGACGTCCCCTCGTAGATGCGGGAAGCGGGTGTGGGAACTTCCTGCCCAAGTGCAGGTCCAGGGGATCGCTCCAAGCTTCCAAATGGATTGAGCGGCCAAGCGATCTTCCTTTTCACATCTCTCGCTTGGATCGAGCGCTTGGAAAAGGGCACAATGCCGTCAGGGCCTCTCCTTGCTTTTCTACATCTTCTTAGTTTGACAATATTTTTAGGGCTGTTTTTTTAATATTTCTAGACTCCTCACCCCTTCCTTTTGTGTGGGAGTTTCCTTCTTTATCTCTTTCTTTCCTTCTTCATGTAAGAGTCCATTTAGTTATTGTTCTCAGAGTTAAGAAGCAGTTTTTGGTGTGTGTTGATTTTAGATTCTTGTGTGGAGTCATTTTCACCGTTGTAGGTTGTATCCGATGAGGGGTGGTGCTCCGACTATATCCTACTTCAAGGTGGGGTGATGTATCTTTCTCCCTTTTTGGCTATCCAGTCCTTCTCCCTCTATTTAGTTATTGTTCTCAGAGTTGGAAAGTAATTTTGGGTGTGTGTTGAATTTAGATTCTTGTGTGGAGTCCTTTTTCCCTTTGTGGGTTGTATCCGAGGAGGTGGTGGTGCTCCGGCTATATGCTACCCCAAGGTGGTGATGTATCCTCCTTCTTTGTTGGTTATCCAGTCCCTATAGCCTCCGCTCTCTCCTAATCCCCTTCCCCAGCCTCTACCGTTCCATCCTCCTGCATTTTACCTTGTTGTCTCTGCAATTGTGCACCGCCCCCTTGCTACCATCAGCATTCCCTTGTTGCCACCACCCTTGCCAACCATCCCAATCCACCTAACCCGACCTCCACCGCTTTTGGGATGCACTTTTGAAGTGTCCGTTTGTGTCATCCTATGTGTCGGTCAAGTTATTTTCAGTTTGTGTGTGTTTTAACCCAATCCTTATATCAATAAAAGTTTACTTACATGTTTAATGTGGTTTGGGGCTTTCTCTTCTGGTATCACTACTTTAGCCCTAATTTAATGAGTTTGGGGATTAATTGGACACTTCAACTCTGGGATTAAAATAAACCCATGTAAAAGTCAAGGGGTACTAGTTTAGCACTTCTTTATCATCTTTGATAATTCCTCTTCCATATGCAGTTTAAAGAGCTGGAGGGGATGGCTTTCCAACTCAAAACTGAGCTCGCAACCCTCGTAATCTCCAACACTGCAAATCCAACATTAACGAAATCTGAAAAAGGCGCAGCAAAAAGTAGAGGCTCTGGTTCTCCTTTTAAATGTATAGTGGGACTAGCACAGCAAATCAACACCGAGAAGGATGAAGAGTTGACTGTGGCAAGATGCAAGATTGAAGAACTCGAAGCTTTAGCTGCAAGCCGACAAAACCAGGTACCTCTCAGTTATTTGTAATTTGTATTTTTACACCCGACTTATTTAGCTATTCCCAATAATTTGTGTTTTTACTTGCTGGTTTTTGTGTATTACAACCAGATTTTTATGTTGAATATTCGCTTAGCAGCAGCTGAGAGCATGACCCATGATGTTCTTCGAGATTTACTGGGAATCAAGTTGGATATGACAAAATACTCAGTGAGATCAGTCTTTAATTGAATTCTTTAAACATCCTTTTTTTTTTGCATCTGGTTTTAGTTTACTCATATTTGTTGAAACATTTTTATTTTATTATGTTGCTGCAGAAGATGAATGGAGGATCTCATTCAGATGATTCAATGAAAGAAAAGGTTTGTGTGCTGGCTTTTTTATACAAAACATAAAAATGTAAATGTTATTCTTATGTTAAATATTTTACTTTGAGAAGGATAAGGAGTTGGGAGAGCTGAAAAGTAAAGTTGATGAATTTGTTGAAGAGAGAAAAAGGTGGACTTTTTAGCACATCTTGCCATCGTGATTGACTTATATACTTTCATTCCACTTGGAGCTAAAGCATACAAGTTTTTTTTTTTTTTTTTTTGTGCATATTTTAGCTTGCTTGAAGAAATAAATAGAAGACACGAAGAATTAATTGCTGCGCAAATTAGGTTGGGGAAGCTCGAGGAGAATGAGAAATTTTTATCTACTGAAAATGAACTATTGAAGGTTCTACTTCATCATCTTTTGTTTTTTTACTGATTTTAATTATTTAATCTTTACATTTATCATTACTTCTTGAATGTTTTATAGGCTGATAATGCCAAATACAAGAACATTGTCATGGAACTTGAGGAGGAATTAGAAAAATTTTCTATGCAGCTGAATATGCAATAACCTACTCCGTGCTAAAGGTGAGTTTATTGGAATTACAGAACGTTGCTGGATAACATATTCAGATGTTGTTCTATTTTTCTTGCTGTAAAAACATAGATATATATTATTTATAGAATTTTTTTTATTAATTAGTATATTATTCTTAATATTATAATTATGTTTGATCACTTTAATAGAAATTTAAAATGAAATTAAACGATGCCATGCAAATTCACTTGTTTGCATTTGCAGGTTGTTGCATTAGACTTGTAAAGGAGCTGAAGCAGCGCAAGTGATGTTTTTAGCCATGAAGAGGCTCTAACCTATATATATATATA